ATATTCTACCTCGTGACAGCGAAGACAGCAAGAGCAATGGAGACACAACACAGGCACTTCCAGAGATGTATCAAAGAACATCCATTTCCAAACACTGTTTTAACACTTAACAGGTGACATATTTAAACTCTCCTGACTATAGAATAACGAAAGAACATTTTTCTGCAGTACCTAAAAGGAAAATGGCAACAGAATGATCTGCTATAGATCTAGGCAAAATACTGTGCCATTATATCAAAACCCCTTGTCACTAGAGATAATACCAATCCAATACCGGGTACTGGTATTGGGTGAATGTCATTAGAAAATAATGGATCAGAAATCAGAATGAACAGACAAACAAAAAAACACACAACATTAAGTCTTTACCTTTTAATCCTGAAACAGCACACTGACACTGTGCTATGTGATGTTAGCTGTGCATTTCTTCCAGTGGGGTAGTGTCAGTAGTTTGAGCATTACAGCTTACTTTTTAGATGCTCATCTTAATTGGGTTGGTATCCAATCAAGTCGATACTCATGCTTTTAATATCATACTGGTAATGGATAAGAAGTAGTATTACTGTTATAAAACATGCTTACAGCATTAATCTCCTTTTTGGTTTTTACAATAAATATCACATTTTATAGGCTAAACTATCTGTGGCACTCAACTTGGTTGGGGACATTTCCTGTATCACATGATTAAAAGAAGCCACAAAATAGCTTAAGCTAAACTAAAAACTGTATATAGACTGGCACACAGGCTCACGTATGCATGGGGAGATTCCGCTTGCACACAAACCCTGGTCTTACATTAGTCTGTTACACATCTGAGTTACATAGACCATAATGCACTGTTGCTGATCATTTTTTTTTTTTTTTAAATCAATGCCATGTCATTCCACCATTTGACAGGAAAATCTGGTATCCAAATGTTGCTTTTTGAAAAAAAGAAAAAACATCCAGTTGTTCACTTTAACACATCTGTAATGTACAGGTTCATATGTAAGGAAAGAAGAGAGAACTAGAAGAAGTGTCTTGAAAAATGGCTGACAGGAAACACATGCACAAGAGAAAAGAACTTCCTGTGACAGGATTTTTTCTGGGCGTTGTAACAGAGATTGCTACTGAGGTCACTTTTGTTGCTCACAGACTACCGAAAACTAGCCAAAACTGCCTGTAGGGTATACTGTGGCCCAGCATTGATGGACTGTGGTCTACAATTAAATTTTAGGTGACACTTTCAATGGCGTGCCTGTTTTACTTTATTTCTGAAAAAAAATTTAATCTGACTTAATTTGCATGTCATCTCCAAACGATTCTCAAAAACTTTAATATCAATGCTGACGCAGCTGGTTACAGTCAATGTGCAGCGTCAGTACGACCTGAATGAATCTGCTCAACGTACTACCAAACCCAAGAGCCATGATGTCACCAGCTCTCACACAAACACACTTTGACGTTATTTGTTGACCTACAACAATAACAGCCATTAAATTTGCCCAAAATTGTATGTGTTCATGGGTAAGCTTGACTGCACTCAACATGTGCACTTGTTATGATACTACAACCAATTAAACATGATATTCTAGCTAGTACCTGGTAACAGGAAATCAAAAAATTAGAACACCGAAAAGTAAAAGACAGGTGCATACATGCTGCTTCACTGTCATATAATGAGCTACCACAAATATGAGATCTGTGTTGAAATCCCCAGGCCACACACAGTGGGAATGGAACAACAGTTCATTCAGAATTTGCCTCAAAACCACAGGTCTTGTAACTCTGAGAAGATATTTTTAAAAAATGTAAAAAATAATAAAGATAACAATAACAAAAATAAAAAAAGACACACTCAAATCAGCTGCATCACTAACCAAGCCCATAATCCTAAAAGCTGAGGTTCAAAGACAGCAGGAATTTAATCCTATCTGGGCTGGCTGGCTGTAAATGGAGTAGGATAAAAAGAGAGAGCGAGGGATAGGGGAAACACATTAAAACAAATATCCATTAAGTTGCATAGGGCAGATAATTCTGAGCTTGTCATATGTTCATAACTTAAAGCCGATTTACTTTCCGTATTAGTATCTGACATTAGGGACCACAACAGAGATGGATAAAAACTAGGATAATGCCAATTTATTAAGGAATATTACCAAGCTCTTAACTTTTGTGGAGTAAATGGACTTTGAGACAAAGATTAGGTCTTAAAGCAGGATATATAGTGCAGTACGTCACTGTAATGGATCTTTAGTAAGCACTTCAAAATAAGTGTTATTCCAGGGTAAGACTATTAAAAGTGATGCATGACCTGTTCAAACTCATTCTTGACATGAGTGTGTGTAAGTGTGTGTGTGTGTGTGAGAGAGAGCAACTCTTGGGCAAACAATGTCTTGTCTAAACGTGTATGGAACCTCAAGTCATGTGTGACTTTGCATGCTTGTTATGGACCAGGGAGAGAAACTGGGAAATGTGTCAGTTTGCACTTCCTGGAACAACAAGATGCAAGATCATCATCAGAAGCTGAATTATAATTAAATACATTAGTGTTTCAGGTCTATAACTCAAAGTGTAGCTTGCACAATACTCGAATCCATGTTCTTTAATGGTTTAACCTTTTGTTTCTGGGTAACTTCCAATGTCTAACAGTGAATGAGTGCTAAACATGTACTTCACTATGGGTGCTACCTATGTTATTCCTAACAAATTCAAATAATGTAAGAGAGATGTCGAAGACATTGGTAAATCTGGAAGAAAACCCCGGAAACAACATATTCTGTAAACTATTATTCCGCCCCAAGCCCCCCTCCATGTTGTCCTAAATCTCCTGCCATTAACACGCCTCGATCGCTTTCAGCTGAGCAAAAAAGGAGATGCACAAATTGCGTTTTTCGACATCTCCATTGCGAAATACAGTCGCAAAACGTTCATTTTCGAGTCACATCGATGCCTGTGTAGAACTGTAGCCTTGCTCAGTCAGAGGAAAGAGATGGAAAAATATAAAAAAAATCGCTGCGAACGCCATCTTGTTGGTCGCAGCTGCTCAGGTCGAGAATACAGGGAGCCATTCATTCTGGGAGAGAGGAGGGGGGACCGGAGCCATCAATCCGGCTTTGTGGACGAGGACGCTAGCTTACGACTACGGACAGAAGCTTTGAAGGTAGTGGGCGAACAAAATACCAAAGAAAACGTATAGAAAGCGTAGGCGAGTGTGTATAGCGAGGGGCTGGTGCAGGCGGGTCCGCTTCACACCCGCAGGGCTTTGGTAGCTGCGGCGTTACTAGCACTCAACCGTCCGGGCTACGGAGGATCCGCCGGCGAGCCCGTTAATGCAACAGGCCTTCTGATTCTGAATAACCTTCCTGTGAAAACCCCCCCTCCCCGTTTATGTATTTCTCCCTTTCGGTTCATAACAGCGGGATTAGGCGCTTCCTCATTTCAGAGAAAGCTGTCCGTTTTCGTCTGCAGTGTTGTGCTCAGAGGTGGCGGAGATGTTAAATTACAGTTCACGTTACGAGCTCACACGAAAGCCGAGATTTGCAGCCCAGGTTAAACAGATTGCGGAAATCCAATTACATCGTTAAAAGCAGAGGCTCGATTTAAGATGCGATCAGAGAAAAGCGACACCCCGGCTGAATCGCTAACTTAACGTTAGCTCCTTGGCGGAACTGAAAGAGACGAGACGAAACGAAATCCTTAAAACGACGATTAACGAGGCGAGCATCGTGTCCTCAAACTATGGTCCAGGCCGGGCATCATCAATCCCTGCGACCATCACCACACTGCGTTGGTGGTGTTTCTCCCCCATCAAGTTTCCTCATAAGCAGAGACAACATGTAGCTCCGACAACATGGCAATTAGCAAGATGGTGGCTAATCCAAGCAGTGCATACATAAGATAGGACAACTGGGTCCATCCCAAAGCGAGCACTACCCAGCACTGGAAAACTGTACACGGCTTCAAAAAAAATAACAGTTCAGTGTGTGCTGAACGATGTACCTAATGATTTAAAAAAGGAAATAAAAAGGGGGAAAGCCATTGTGGACTTGATATTAACCCCTCACTGTGCAATATGTATCGTTCTGACATTGTTAAACGCCAACAGGAATCTCAAACACACGCCCTGTCCCTGTTTGCAACCACAGGTCCGCACACTAAACAAGCTGAAAAAGCCTGCTGGTGTGTGCTGAGGACTAGAGTAACCAACTCAGGACCAAGACGAAAGTGGGGGTGGTGGGAATGGGCTGTATGCTCCTCAAGAAGAAGCCATTTTCACATTTTACTCTGCTTTTAATGGTTCTCGCATCTACTGCTCTGTGTTCGGGCCTGTGTGAAATCCGCAACCACCACGTTTAACGCTAGTTACATTCCTCACCTGCTGTGGTTTACGTTAACTTAAACGCTAGTCGATGTATCAGGATGTAGCCAGACATGGCTGTTTTACTAGCTGTGAACGGCTAACCTGACTCGGTTCCCGTCCAGACCAGGAGAATGTGTCGAATGGTGGATGTGCATTTACTCAAAAAAGGGCAAAAATATATATATGCAGTGCCAGTAATGAGGTTACCACTTCTGACAGGAACTGAACTAATCCCGTGGAAAAAAAAATAATCTCACACACTGGCGGGATTATGCAACCCGAATCTGAATGAAGACAGTCGTTAGCTTCGCAAGCTAACATAGGAGGGTGCTGTAAACCCGACAAGACATAGTGCTAAATATTTCTGGCCCGTGACCGCGATTTTGCAAGGCTCGACCACATCCCACACACAAGAAGCTACGGTCATTATCGGGAAAAAGCTTCGAAAAACAAACTCTGAAATATTTATTCAGACATTGCCAATTACCCATCTGTTTACTTTAGCTTACCAACAGCTACCCCCACCCCCGCCACAGCACAGGCAAATACAAACCCAGCGAAGTCAGTCAACCCAATTAGCTTTCTGCAGCTAGCCACCATTCAGCGATGAATAATGTCACGTTCGTTCACACAAAAACAGCCCAAAACGATGTCTTACCCGTTTTCAGTCGTGGGCGTCCGTTGTTTATATCGCATTGACTGGAAACAGCGAAGCCAGACTCCCCCGTCTCTCCGACCAGCGCGCAGACGAGCTAACAGGCTACCCGAGGAGTGGCACTCCCCGAACCCAGCTTTTCGATACGCACACCGGCACACAGGCGCGAAGACGGGGCGGCCAGGAAAAATGCTAATTTTGCAGTAAAACGAACCGAAGCTCTTCTGCTGCCGCCTCAAACGTACTCCAGCCCCCTGTCCAAAACGCAGCCTTCCTTTTCTTTCCTTCTGTCGTTCTCTCCTGCTCTTTCTTTCTTTCTTTCTTTCTTTCTTCTCGCCCACAGCAGCTCAGTCGCTTCCTCCGGCCATCAAACAGCAGAGATGGGCGCGGTAACCCTGCTCTGGGCTCCGGGAAACCCCACGCTTCGCCTGCGTCACTACGTAAGCGCAAGGCTGAGCTCGACGACTAGAACGTAGGCCTAGTCCTAAAACTTCACAACAGGGCCTCACCTTTCATATTTTTATAGTACTGCCTTCAACTCTGAGTTCACATACCCGGTTTTTTCGTTATTTCCTTAATTCTGCCAAGCAAAGATCTGTGCTTTCACCTTTCTTTATTAGATATGAGGCCTGGAGGCAAGGCTGGTTTCACTGAGAGGTCTATTTTACTTCCAAATTAAAGCCTAGAGTACTAAAGCATTGCACAGTTTAGAGCTTCCCCTTACTCGAACACCTATTTTTTCAAATATAATCGCTGCTTGTGGAATATGAATGTCCCATTCCCAAAACTACAGTAGCTACTGAAAGCATAGTATAGCCACATCAAGGCTAGCTCTGAGCCATATACAGTACATAGCCAGATACATGTAAGTTGTAGTGCATGCTGTGTAGCATTCTAAGAAAGCCCCACGTGCAAATCTTCCACTTTAAGGATAGCACAGTTAATTGGTAAGGAGGCTGGTTATCTCCAGTACGCTTAAATGGAGGATAGACTTTATCAATATACCCCTTCCCTTTTTTTTATTTTCCATTGAAAATTGGCCATCATACTATTCCAGGGCTATTTTCTTCTGATCCTTCCAAATCTCACCCACAGAGATAGCTTCAGAAACAATTGCACTATATGTTTTTAACCAATAGTCCTGTTAAATTGCTATACGTACAATCACAGGCCATCTCTCTCATGGTTCCACCTTGCTGGTGTACAGTTAGGGACTGTAGGGATCTGTTGATAGTTTGTTAGCCTTCGTCTGGTCCTTCATCAGTGGTCAGTTTCTGGCCATAGAGCTACTCTTGGTTTGATAAATTTGACTGGCAGAGCACGCTTAAGCTAGCAGTGACACTGAAGTGTGTAAAACTCGTTTTGATGTGCCAGATACACTTGTACTAGTGCCATCACTACCACGTCATATACTATTCCTCATATACTACTATCTCACTCGTCAACCCCCCAATTAATACAAGGTCAACATTAGTCATGTGGTCAGAATGGATGGGGTAGAGGGCGACTGACAAATCATGCATGACAACATTATAGACACCTATAATGTAGATGGACCTTATAAAGTGGCCAGTGAGTGTAAGTACGAGGTGTTTCTAATAAAGTGGATCACGAATAGGTGTTGCTGTCTGATAATCAATTCACCTCAACAATTTCAGTCACGTTACAGTCAAAGAGCATGCTTTTAATATTTCAGTCCATCTGTGTTCATGTATTTTAATGTGAAGTATAACCATAGCTTTAAGTAAAAATAAAGACATGGTCAGGAGGATAAGCGGTTTGGCTGATGTGTGTGTGAGTGTGTGTGTGTGTGAAGAGATGGTGGTCCTAACACAATAATAACCATGCCTCTGAGTCTATATATTTGCAAATGTGTCAGAGATGTCAGCTGTTTGATGACAACTAATTGGAAATCAGGTGACAATAACTGTGTTTGTGATATTTCAGTGCCTCATGGGTAAAGAAATGTCTAGGCATGCCAGTAGTGTGGCCAGAATTTCATTTTAGGGGGGACTAGCTACTAAAAGCAGCTAGTAGAATTATGTGCCAGAGACACTGCTATAATGAGGTTGGCAACCACCAACTAGCCACCTGGCCTACTTCACTGTAGCTTCCTTAATCAGGGAGAAAGAGAAAGCAAAAAAAGAAATTTTAAACACACAAGCTTGCATGTATCTGCCTAGGTATTATAACAACTGACAGCTAACCATGGTGAGTATTGGCTAATTAACCACAGACATACCTTTTATGACAACAGCTGTAGATATCTGGGGGGAATAGTTTCTCATTGTTTTGGTTTCTTACCAGCTGTGTCTGATCCACTCATACCAGCGCAACACACACTAACACACCACCATCACGTCAGTGTTACTGCAGTGCTGAGAATGATCCACCACCCAAATAGTACCTGCTCTGTGAGGGTCCATGGGTTCCTGATCACTGAAGTACAGGGTAAAAGGAGGCTAACAAAGTATGCAGAGAAACAGATGGGGCTTCTCATACAAAGCCCCCCAACTTTGAAATAATCTTCCAGTCAGTGTTCAGGACTCAGACACAGCCTCAGTCTTTAAGTCTAGGCTAAAAACCCACTTTTTTAGTCAAGCCTTTGGTAATTAGTTTTTCCTGTTAGATAAAAGATTTGGGGGTTCATGGACATAGAGTATTATGGTAAACTGGGAGTGTTGGTGCTGTCGTCTCGCTGCTCTCACTCGTTCACTCAGGTTTGCTGACAGTGGAGCGGAGGGGCACTGACATCTCAGGGAGCCTCATGTCTCTGTTACCTTTCTGGTTTCTCCCGTTTAGTTAGGCTGTAATAACTAGACCTGCCGGAGTCTCTGCTGCACTCTATTAATACTGTAATCTGTGATCAGTCACTCTTTACAGAACAAACTCTCTGTGTGTTTTCTTTGCTGAGTTGAACAGCTGCCCATCCTGTGTGGTCTGATGCTGATCGGGTGCCCACTGCTCACCAGCCTTCTGGACTGGTTTGACAACCTTCTTGCTGTACAACGCTGTGCAAACCTCACCCACATGAACTGACCCTTCTGATGATACTGCTGCTGCAGTAACACAAACTATCTAATTATAACCATTGCTTTACCCGTTTTTCCCCATTTCTGTATTCTAATATTTTATACTAATGCTGTTTGCTATCCGGTGTCGGCCAGAGGAGGATGGGTTCCCCTTTTGAGTCTTGGTCCTTCTCAGGGTTTCTTCCTCTTGCTCTTAGGGAGTTTTTCCTTGCCACTGTTGCCATTGGCGACACTCATGGGGCCTTGGACTCAGATTTTTTTGTAAAGCTGCTTTGCCAAAAACGCCTGCTGTAACAAGCGCTATATAAATAAACTTTAACTTTGACTTAGTTTTTAATAAATGTAATTTAGACTGAACACAGATACTTAATTTCTGTATTCTGGATACATATTCCCAATACTTGTATTCTGTTACATCCCAGCCCTGATTTTAGGTGACAGTCGATAAGTACATTCATTTGTGCTGTGTGGGGGGAGATAAAGCAGGGGGTGACGCCATTTTTGTAATTTGTATAGTAGCTATGTTTACCTGCTCATGGATTGCAGATGGAAATGAGCTAGTTAGCTATCGCTGGTGAAAAGCATCTTTTCTCATGTTTATGCTCGTGGTCCCTGACAAAATAAACACTTAACTAAACTAAACATACCTAGCCCACTAGCCAGATAAGTAGTAGCTTATGCTAAAAACCAAAATGGCTCAGCTAAATTCCCACAGTCTGCAGAAACACTCAAGGAGGGTAATGCTGTGTTTACATTTTGACATTGAAAAAACATAATTCTATACACATTATCATTGGCATTGGACTTCGCATGAAATTACTGCCATGACTCTATGAACCTTTGGACCAAATAATAAAAGAGTCCAGGCTCACGGGAACACTGGCACAAAGGCTTGTGCCCAAAAACTCTCAAAGTCCATTAAAAGTGCTTAATCGAAACAGTGACGGCAAAAGAAAAGCATCACTCAATGCATTAGTTGCATCATATGTACAGTGTTCTAAGCGTCTAATTGCGCCGTTAGGTGCTTGCCTCACCTACTCGTTTAGTTCCAGTCAATACTCAACGAGACCCACCCCCACCAAGGGAGTTCTGCAGGGCTGCATGCGAGGGCCGCTGTACCTCTATGAGAAAAACAAAAGGAACAAGTGAAAGGCAGGTAGTCAGGGGACCGCTGGCAGATCCGAGGGAGGTAGGGGAGGGAGTCAGTCTCCAACCCATAGCTAATTATCGCCAGCAGCATGAGTGAGATATTACTCCATGGAGACATAGAGGCGAGCTGGGTAGCGCCGTTACTTAGAGACCTGGAACACAATATACCCTGATTCATTACCCAGAGGGTCTAGAGGGCCGCTAGCATCCCGCATGCAAACACTCTGCTAAGGAGATCGGGGCATCAACAGAGTCCTCCTCTAGGAGTTCTTCTCCAGGTAGGGTGGGGCAAGCACCTCAAATGCAAGGGCCCTTGAGTATGACACAAAGAGAGAGAGAAAGGGGCGAGGGAGCACTCCAGAATCTTCCATCAAAACAAGACGTTATGAAAGATGTGGACTATATTTTGAATTTGGGGTTAATTTCAGGTAATGTAAAGCAGGCTCAAGTGTAGCTGGAGTCATGATTGAGATCTGGTATACTTTAGGGAAAAAATTAAGTGGATGAATGGAAAGTAACCAGGCCATAACATTAAGTCACATCCTCAATAGAAGCTACAATAATGAATACATGATTTCACAGTGAAACACCCTCTAACATAGGCACTATTGTGGATATCAAGACGAATGTGGGACTTTATTCAGCATTTCCCAGGTACTTTGGTGCTGAACTGGATGGAAGTAGTAGTCATGTGACTTTGAAGTTTGGGGTAGGCAAGTGGAGCCCAACTTAAAATTGGCAGGGGATGGCAAAAGAATAGAACTGCAGATTAAAAACAGTCTAAAACCTATACACCAACAAAGTAGTTGAATATTCATACATTGTTTTCCAGTCTGATTGGAAAATTTCCTTCCAGGTTTAAAAGCTTGTTGCTTTCAGATCTTACAGTCTTCTCGGTCCTATAATTCTTTGTTTTTTTCTATCTCAAAGCCAACAAGTCATTTACAGCTACTCTATGCATGCTTTTCATGTTAAATTTAAAAGAAGTAGCATTATTGAGACAGGAGAAAAACAGACAGGAGAGATTCACTCTGTAAAGCCTGAAATAATAGTCAGAGGCGTTGGGTCGGGTTTTGGGTTTTTTGAACCACATTAGCTGCCTTTATTATTATTATACGATTATACTGAAAATATGATGAGAAAAGTAGATTATTCATTTACATCCTTGGAAGACACATCCTTCACCAAGTTTTGATTGAATTCTCTTTGAAAACTTTTCAATGCACTTG